CAGCGGATGAAAGCTCTCTTTCTTTGTCTCTCCCCGTCTCTGTCAAATAAATAAATAAATAAATAGTTTTTTTTTTAAGTCCTGGTGGAAGAATTCGTCTTGAAGAGGAGAGAAAGGAGTTACCTCTTTAATCACGATAAGAGGAAGTATTTGTAAATTTGTTTAGTAACAGGAAGTTAAAGAAGTTCTCATTTTTTTTTTTTATAGGCAGAGTGGACAGTGAGAGAGAGAGAGAGACAGAGAGAAAGGTCTTCCTTTTGCCATTGGTTCACCCTCCAATGGCCGCTGCACCGCGCCTATCCAAAGGCAGGAGCCAGGTGCTTCTCCTGGTCTCCCATGCGGTTGCAGGGCCCAAGCACTTGGGCCATCCTCCACTGCACTCCCTGGCCACAGCAGAGAGCTGGCCTGGAAGAGGGGCAACCGGGACAGAATCCGGCGCCCCAACCGGGACTAGAACCCCGTGTGTTGGTGCTGCAAGGCGGAGGATTAGCCTAGTGAGCCGCGGCGCCGGCCAGAAGTTCTCATTTGATGACTTGTTACCTCTGTGAAGTAGGAGACAAGGTCATCTGTTAGTGGAGAAGGAGGTGGTGTTTGCAGTTAGAAGGAAAGCTGAAGTTCTGGAATGCTGTTGTGGAAAGTGGTAGAGCAAGTGGACCAGAGAAAAGTAGTGGGACTAGAAAGCAATGTTGAGGGCCTGCTTAAGATTGATAAACATGAACTCACCAGTTTCTGTCTTCATGTAGTTTTCTCAAGCCATAATCACTTTTAAGAGCAGAGGTGGAGAAAAATAGATGATTAGGCTGGTGCCATGGCTCACTAGGCTAATCCTCTGCCTGCGGCGCTGGCACACCGGGTTCTAGTCCCGGTCAGGGCTCCGGTTCTGTCCCGGTTGCTCCTCTTCCAGTCCAGCTCTCTGCTGTGGCCTGGGAAGGCAGTGGAGGATGGCCCAAGTCCTTGGGCCCTGCACCCGCATGGGAGACCAGTAGGAAGCACCTGGCTCCTGGTTTCAGATCAGCGCAGCACGCCAGCTGCAATGCCCCAGCCATAGCGGCCATTTGGGGAGTGAACCAACAGAAGGAGGACCTTTCTCTCTGTCTCTCTCTCTCTCACTGTCTAATTCTGCCTGTCAAAAAAAAAAAAAGGATGACTAAATTCACTTAGGATTGGCATGGTCATTGACACAATACCCCAGTTCTCAACTAAGGGCAATTTTGTCTGCTAGTGGACACCTGGCAATGTCTGAAGATGTTTGGATTACTGTATTGACAGGGAGGGGGCTGCAGGGTACTGTAGTGTCTACAGGCTTCCAGTGTCCAGGGATGTTGCTGAACCTCTTAGAATGCTCAGACAGACCCTGACAACATTTGGACCCTTCTCCAAAATGTCAATATTCCAGAAATTGAGAAACCCTCATCTAGGTTACCTTGGTGCTCTCCAATATCTGACCTTGGTCTTCTGCAGGCTTTTCTTTGGACTTTTTGGCCCTGAGCTTATCCTTAACGCAGTTCTTCCATTGTGTGCCTTTAAAGGAGCGTAGAATGAGAAGCATACAACAGACCTTGGGTGTTTCAAGGACTTGTGATGTCACAAATACAGAATTAGAAGAGACGCAAACCTCTAGAAGCAAATCTGGGTTTACACACAAATGAAGGTAACTGCTTCCTTTGATTTGAAGCACTGATGGTCTGGTTAAACAGAGATGTTATTATAATTTCAATAATATATAGAGGAGTAACACTGAGGCAGGAGACAGGGCCAACTAGGGAAGCTAAGAAAAGCAAATTCTAAAACTCTTTTTCTCTCAATCTATGCCTCCCTTGTCCAAGAACTTGAGGTAGGAGACAAAAAAAGGGCCAATTGGGGAAACTGAGAAAAAGAAATGACAGGAAAAAAAAAAAAGAAAGAAAAAGAAATGCTAAGCTTAAAACACCTTTACTTAAAAACTGTACATAAGTTTGACAACAGCCAGATGGCTTACACACCAGATGACTTCAAAAACACACTAACAGCCGGCGCCGCAGCTCACTAGGCTAAACCTCCGCCTTGCGGCGCCGGCACACCGGGTTCCAGTCCCGGTCGGGGCGCCGGATTCTGTCCCAGTTGCCCCTCTTCCAGGCCAGCTCTCTGCTGTAGCCCGGGAGTGCAGTGGAGGATGGCCCAAGTGCTTGGGCCCTGCACCCCATGGGAGACCAGGAAAAGTACCTGACTCCTGCCATCAGATCAGCGCGGTGCGCCTGCTGCAGCGCACCGGCCAAGGCGGCCATTGGAGGGTGAACCAACGGCAAAGGAAGACCTTTCTCTCTGTCTCTCTCTCTCACTGTCCACTCTGCCTGTCAAAAAAAATAATAAAATAAAAAAAAGACACACACTAACAGCCCCTCACTCAGGATCAACTCCTATGAAATCACAGCTCCAATTATCTTCGGGACCTCAATCTAAGCTTTGATTATTGGCCTCTTCTCTCTTAAAGTGGGTGTGTTTGTTGCCTATTATAAACCTTTGCTGTAAAGGCTTACTGTTTGTGTGAGCCTCATTCAATTCATCATCTGAGGCTCAGAAGAACCTGTACCTGGTCCTCACCTTTCTACTCCCATAACACTTTACATCATTTTTTTTAAAGATTTATTTTATTTATTTGAAAGAGTTACAGAGAGAGGTAGAAACAGAGAGAGTTCTTCCATCTGCTGGTTCTCTCCCCCAGATGGCCGCAAATGGCTGGAACTGCGCCGATCCGAAGCCAGGAGCTTCTTTCAGGTCTCTCATGTACATGTAGGGGCCCAAGGACTTGGGCCATCTTCTACTGCTTTCCCAGGCCATAGCAGAGAGCTGGATGGGAAGAGGAGCAGCCAGGACTAGAACCGGCACCCATATGGGATGCTGGCACTTCAGGCTGGGGCTTTAACCCACTGCGCCACAGCAACGGTGCCAACACTTCACATCATTATCAACCTTAATGCAGGGCTGGCATTGTAGCTCCACTGGTTGAGCCGCTGCAGGCAATGCCAGCATCCATCTGATCAGGTTCAGTGCCCCACCCCCCCACCCCGTAACTCTGCCTTTAAAATAAAAATAGAAAGTAGGGGCCAGTGCTGTGGTGTAGTGGGTAAAGCTCTCACCTGCAGTGCCAGCATCTCACATAGGTCCTGGCTGCCAATCCGAAGCCAGAGCCGGAACTTCTTCCAGGTCTCCCAGGCCTGTGCAGGGCCTCAAGGACTTCAGCCTTCTTCTACTGCCTTCCCAGGCCATAGCAGAGAGCTGGACTGGAAGTGGAGCAGCTGGGACTGGAAGTGGAACAGCCAGAACTCGAACTGGCACCCATATTTGGATGCTGGTACTGCAGGCGGAGTTTTACCCGCTACACCACAGCGCCGGCTCCCTGGCTAGCCTTTGCTAAAATGGAGTTCTGGAGGCTGGTGTCGCGGTGTAGTGGGTTAAGCCACCACCTGCAAGGCTGGCATCCTATAGTGGCACTGGTTCATGTCCTGGCTGCTCCACTTTGACTCCATCTCTCTTCTGATGGCCTGGGAAAGCAGCAGAAGATGGCCCAAGTACCTGGCCCTTCCACCTATGTGGCTCCTGGCTTCCGCCTGGCCCAGTCCTGGCTGTTAGAACCATCTGGGGAGTGAACCAGTGGATGGAAGATACCTCTCTCCCTTTTCCCTCCCTCCCTTCCTCTCTCTCTCTCTCTCTTTCTCTAGCTCTGACTAAAATAATTAAGTCTTTTATAAAAATAAATAAAATGGAGTTCTGAGGAAATGGGTATGGACTCAGTGTATCATTTTTAAAGTTTTTAATTTATTGGCGGCGCTGCGGCTCAATAGGCTAATCCTCTGCCTGCGGCGCCGGCACCCCAGGTTCTAGTCCCGGTCGGGGCACTGGATTCTGTCCCAGTTGCTCCTCTTCCAGTTCAGCTCTCTGCTGTGGCCTGGGAAGGCAGTGGAGGATGGCCCAAGTGCGTGGGCCCTGCACCTGCGTGGGAGACCAGGAGGAAGCACCTGGCTCCTGGCTTCAGATCTGCGTGGTTCCAGAGGTAGCGGCCATTTGGGGAGTGAACCAACGAAGGAAGACCTTTCTCTCTGTCTCTCTCTCTCACTGTCTAACTCTGCCTGTCAAAAAAAAAAAAAGTTTTTAATTTATTTGAAAAATAGTGAGAGAGACAGACATCTTGCATCCACTGGTTCACTCCCCCAAAAGCCCACAGCAGCCAGGGCTGGACCACGATGAAGCTAGGAGCTGGGAGCTTCTTCTGTGTCTCCCACGTGGGTGGCAGCGACTCAAGTATTTGAGCCTCTCAGGGTGCACATTAGCAGGAAATTGGATTGGAGAGGAGTGAGGACTCGAAACCAGGTACTCTGACGTGGGATGCAGGTATCTCAAGAGGGATGGTAACCATTAGGCCCTTCGCTTTCCCCAGGGCTAAGTTTAATAATAAACACTTCTGTGTGAATACGAAAATAAAGACTGGTGGTTAGAATGCTTGCTCTGCGATAGGCCTTTGACTTATGCTGTCTAATTTAATCCTAGCAAGCCCTTAAGATGGCTTTAGTATCCTAATTTTACCTAAAGAAACTGGGCTTTCAAGAAAGCTTATCATTTACCGAAAGTCCCATTATTTGTAGCTAGGCCAAAAGTCGAACTCGGACCCCTCCGTTCTAAAGCTTTTGTACTTTCCGTTACACTTCAATACGTTTTATAAGGAGTGCTCTGGACATCTACCCGCGACAGTTGTCACCGTCTGATGTGGGAGGCTCAGCAAGCGCGGAGGAGCTAGGAGGAGGCCCAGAAGGTGCAAAAAGAATGAAAAAGGCACCGTGGAGGCTAGTCACAGGGCCTGGTTCAGCAGCCTCACTCCTCAGCACGCTGCCCTGCCTGCCTTCTGCCTCCTTGCTGTCTAAGCCTCTTGCCCCGTGTCCGTTGTTCACTCTCTTGTGTTCAAATAAAGCTAGGTTATTGAGAGAGGCGGAGTGTAAAGGGAAAAAAAAAAAAAAAAAAGCGCGACGGCTGCGCTGTGCGCCTGCGCTCTGGCGGCGGCGGTGCCCGGCGGGGAGCGGGTCCGGAGCGGGCCGCCGGACCCAAAACTGAGGGGGCCGTCCGGGGCCTCAGGGAGCTCCCTCGCCGGGCCGGCGGCGGCCTGATGGAGTAAGAGGGGTCGTCTGTGGATGTGAGTACCGCGGGGCCGGCCCGCGCTGAGCGTGTGGGAACCCGAGGGTCCTGGTGGTCTGCCCCTGAGCGAGGCTGCGGGGCTGTGAGACGCGGCCGGGGCTGTGCGCCCGCGGGCGGCGGCGCTGAGGCGGCTGGCGGGCCCCTCTGCCGGAGCCGCGCGGGCTGGCGGGGCAGGCAGGGCTTCTGGCTGCGGGCTGCACGTTCCCGCGGAGGCGCTCCGACTCCTCTGCTAGTCCCAGAAGGGAACGTGGCTGCAAAGCCATCCCTTAAGGGCAGGCCGCTGACCTCCCTCGGCCCCGGCTGAGGCAGGGGATCGTGGACCCCGGTGCGGAAAGGCAAGGGGATCCCCCTCGGCCTCTCGTGACTGGCTCCATTCTTTGCCCCCTTCGGTCTGCTGTCCTTGAAATAGCAACTAATTATGGCGTGTTTACTGTGTGTCCGTTTAATATTTAATACTGATCTTGGTACGTAATTACGGAGGGGAAATGCTTTGCCCCCCACCCCACCCCCACCCATTCAGTTTAATCCCATTTTGGGAAGTTTGAGATTTCCACGTCCTTTAGCAGTTTGGGACTGCCGTGCTACTCGAGGAAGTTCTTCTCTTACCTAGCAAGTGAGTGTTTTAGCCACTATAATGGTTTATACCTGGATTTTAAAGCCACAAATGACTTCTGAGTTCTGACTAAGAGCTTGGGTACTGTTTCACATCCCGTGGGGAATCTTGAAAATGATTTGAGCCCCGTTCTGAAGTTTGGTGAAGTGGAAGATACCATTCAGATTCAGCTAGTGTTTGTTTAGCACCAAACACACTCAGGTGTGTCCCAAAAATTTGTGAAATACGTGTAATGGAAGATGATCTTTTTGTAGCATATACAGAGAGTAGTGCTGAGATTCTGAAGGTGCTTTATTGAGGGTTGATGCTAATCTAGCCAGAGGAAGCAGTGAAATTCACCTAATAGGATCTGGAAGCTTATCTTTTTACTGTTATGCCAGCTTATAGATTCTCAGTACTTGTGCTAGGAAAGCAAACTGTGTTACAGTTTCGAACTCTTGAATCTGGAAAATGGTGGGGCCTTTAGTTAGAGATTCTTACTAGGTGTTTTGTTGCGATGGTTTTTTGAAGAGAATTTAAAAATGGCCTGGAAGGAGATCGAGGGTTAAAGGAATCTGATCTGGCTGGTTCAGAACCAGTTGCTTTGGTTAAAAAGAAGATAATTAAAAACTGAATGGTGATTATTGTACATCTAGATTTGAGTGCGTGAAGTGCGAAGGGTTACTGCATCAGGGAAGCAAAGATGCTGGAGAACCTGGTTCTGGAACCAGGAATGGCTCATGAGATGTATACAGATTGTGTGTTTTGTAGTTGGAGTATCTTATTGGGAAGTTACAGGCAGACAGGTTATATAAAATAACTAAACTTTTGTCTGGCACAATCACTAATTGAAACCTTAGAGTGAATGTGTGTGAGTTATTTTAAATATGAAAGAGACTGTCAAGAAATAACAGTTACCAGGTGTTCATCAGGAGAGGACTGGTTAAATTACGCATTTAGAATGAGTTAGCTCTATATATTAATGTTGGTATCCCAAACAGGTTACACTTTCCAACCATTGTGGTTTTCAGAAAAAATAGTGCTGCATATAGAATATCTTTAGAAAGTAATCAAATTCATAAAGATGGAAAGGAGAAGAATGATGGTTGCTGGAGACTAGAGGAGGCAGAAATAGAGTGTTATTCTTTAACAGATGTAGAGCTTAGCTTTACAAGATGAAATATTTATGGAGATGAATGGTATATTAAATACATCATAAGTGTATTTAATGGTATTACACTGTTAGTGGAAGATGGAATTAAAAGAAACTTATCTTGGTGTAGTTAATTTTTGAAATCCAAAAGCTCATGGAAATACATTCAGTGAAATTTCAAAGACTTTTTTTGCACCAAAATAAACTTTTAAGTCTTTAGCATTAACCTAATGAAGTACCCTCGTATATTTATTTATTTATTAAGATTTTTATTTATTTATCTACTTGAGAAGTTACAGACAGTGAGAGAGAGACAGAGAGAGAAAGGTCTTCCATCCACCAGTTCACTTCCCAAATGGCCACAACAGCCGGAGCTGGGCCGATCTGAAGTTAGGAGCCAGGAGCTTCCTCCCTGTCTCCCACATGAGTGCAGGGGCCCAAGGGCTTGGGCCATCTTCCACTGCTTTCCCAGGCCATAGCAGAGAGCTGAATTAGAAGAGGAGTAGCCAGGACTAGAACCAGCACACATATGCCAGCGCTGCAGGTAGAGGATTAACTCCCTGTGCCACAGCGCCCACCCCTTGTATATTTAAAAATGGTAAATATCATGTTATGTTAATTTTAAGTGCAATGAAAAGTTGAAAAAAAATCTCAGAATATTTAAGAAACTGTTAAGTGTGACTAGAGGTGGCAGTGCCTGGGAAAAAGTAGGAGGAGGATAATTTTTTCTATAAGGTTTTTTTTTTAAGATTTATTTATTTCTGTGAGAGGCAGAGTAACAGAGAGAGAGAAGATGAGAAAGAGAGCAAGGTCTTCCATCCACGGGTTCACTCCCCAAAGGGCTACAATGGCTGAAACTGGACTGGTCCAAAGCCAGGAGCCTGTAGCTACTCTGGGTTTCCTATGTGGGTACAGAGTCCCAAGCACTTGAGCCATCTTCCACTGCTTTCCCAGGCACATTAATAGGGAGCTGGACCAGAAATGGAGCAGCTGGGACTCAGACATCCATATAGGATGCTGGCACTGCAGACAGTGGCTTAGCCTACTATGCCACTGTACTGGCCCCTCTCTATAAGCCTTTTTATTTTACATTTCATTATGAAAGCTTTTATAAAACCAGAAAAGTAGAAATATAGTATATGAACACCTATAAATCTGTCACTCAGATTTTAAAATCTGTCACTATTTTGCTATACTGCATTTACTTTTTTTAAATATTTATTTTATTTATTTGAAAGGCAGAGTTACAGAGAGGCAGAGGCAGAGAGAGAAAGAGAAGTCTTCCACCTGATGGTTCACTCCCCAGATGGCTGCAATGGCTGGAGCTGTGCCGATCCGAAGCCAGGAGCCAGGAGCTTCCTCTGGGTCTCCCACGTGGGTGCAGGGACCCAAGGACTTAGGCCATCCTCCATTGCGTTCCCAGGCCATAGCAGAGAGCTGAATTGGAAGTGGAAGCAACCTGGTCTTGAACTGGCACCCATATGGGATGCCGGCACAGCAGGCGGTGGCTTACCCGCTACACCACAGCACCGGCCCCTTGCATTTACTTTTTATTTATTTATTTATTTATTTATTTTTTTGACAAGCAGAGTGGACAGTGAGAGAGAGAGACAGAGAGAAAGGTCTTCCTTTGCCGTTGGTTCACCCTCCAATGGCCGCTGCGGCCGGCGCACCACACTGATCCGATGGCAGGAGCCAGGCACTTCTCCTGGTCTCCCATGGGGTGCAGGGCCCAAGCACTTGGACCATCCTCCACTGCACTCCCTGGCCACAGCAGAGAGCTGGCCTGGAAGAGGGGCAACCGGGACAGAATCTGGCGCCCGGACCGGGACTAGAACCAGGTATGCCAGCGTCGCAAGGCGGAGGATTAGCCTATTGAGCCGCGGTGCCGGCCCGCATTTACTTTTATTCCTGACATTTTTACCCCCAAATATATATTTGAAATATATTTCTTTTTTTTAAAGATTTTATTTACTTTATTTGAGAGAGTTACAGACAGTGAGAGGGAGAGACAGAGAGAAAGATCTTCCTTCCATTGGTTCACTCCCTAAATGGCTGCAACTGCTGGAGCTGCGCCCATTTGAAGCCAGGAGCCAGGTGCTGCTTCCTGGTCTCCCACATGGGTGCAGGGGCCCAAGGACTTGGGCCATCTTCCACTGCTTTCCCAGGCCATAGCAGAGAGCTGGACTGGAAGTGGAACAGCCAGGGCTAGAACTGGCACCCATATGGGGTGCCAGCGCCACAGGCGGAGGATTAACCTGTGCGACGATCCCGGCCCTAAAATATATTTCATTTATTTGAAAGGCAGAGAAAGAGAGAGAAATGGAGAGATAGAGATCTCTCATCTGTTGGGTCATCCCCAAATTCCCAGAATAGCAAGGACTTGACAGGCCAGAACCATGAGTTTGGAACCCAATCCAGGTCTCCTATAGGGGTGACAGGATCCAAGTACATCTCTCACTCTTAAAATTTCTCCAAATTGTTCCTTTTTTAAAAATGGTTTGATCCAATTTCCAATACAAGGCCTCACATTTTACTTGATTGTTTTGGATCTTGAATACTCTTAATCTTGAACTTACCTTTTCCCCCTCCTCTCTTTTTCTTATTCCTCCCCCTCCACCCCCCCACCCAATAACTTTTTGAAAAGACCAGGTCAGTTATCTAGATGTATTTGTTTGATTTCTGGTGCATTCATTTAATTTGTGGCTACAGCCTGGAAGCTAGAGTGAAACACTTTATCAGATTCAAGTTAAGAACTTGAGGTACAATATCATAAACCTGCTTCAGTGATGCTGACAGTGATTAGTGGGGTCAGGAGATGAATCTGAGTCCCTGGTTAAATTGTGTGTCTCCCTTGAAAACTAGCTTAAGTCCTTTTTTATTTTTTATAGTTTGAAAGACTAGTATAACTTATTTGAATTACAAATGATTGTCTTTGAAAAGAGAAAGCTTACTCTAAGAAAGTGCTTTCAAAAAAATAAAAGAGAGAGGCCCTCGCTGTGGTTTAGCTAGTAAAGCCATCACCTGCAGTGCCAGCATTCCTTATGGGTGCAGGTTCAAATTCCGGCTGCTCCACTTTCAATCCGGCTCCCTGCTAATGCACCTGGGAAAGCAGTAGAAGATGCCCTAAGTGCTTGGGCCGCTGTACCCACATGGGAGACCTAGAAGAATCTCCTGGCTCCTGGCTTCAGAGCATCCCAGCTCTGGCCTCAGCCATTTGGAGAGTGAACCAGTGGATGGAAGATGTCTCTTT